GCGACAGTGGGGAGGAAAAACTCCCTCGTGAGGAAGAAACAGATACACAATGGCAGGTCAAGAATCACATGTTAAGATAGAAAAAAATATCAAATGAAACCTATTTACTTTGATGCATTAGTAACTATTCATTTGAAGAAATTAGGTCAATTTGTCGTCCAGTAGTCTAAGCCTATAGCAGCGTAACAAGCCAACCCTAACTATAGGATTTATCAAAAAGGAAAGTCTTAAGCCCAGTCTTAAACTGGACAATGTGTCAGCCTCATGGATGGAAACTGGAAGTTGGTTCCACAGGAAGAGCCTGATAACTGAAAGATCTTCCTCCCATTCTGCCTTTGGAAACTCTAGGAACCACAAGTAAACCTGCAGTCTGAGAGTGAAGTGCTCTGTTAGGAAAATATGGAACAATAAGTTCACTAATATAAGATGGAGCTAGGTTGTTGAGGGCTTTGTAGGTTAGAAAGATTTTTAATTCAATTCTGGATTTGACAGGGAGCCAGTGGAGAGAAGCTAAAACTGGAGAGATATGATCTCTCCCGCTAACTCCAGTTAAGAATCTGGCAGCAGCGTTTTGGATCAACTGAAGACGTTTAAAAGAAGTTTTTGGACACCCAGATAAAAAACCATTGCAATAGTCCAGTTTAGACGTGACAAATGCATGAACCAGTTTCTCTGCATCATTTTTTGACAAGATGTTTCTAATTTTAGAGATATTTCACAGGTGGAAAATAAGTGGTTCTGCTAATGTTTTTAATGTGGGGGTTAAAAGACATGTCCTGATTGAAAATAACACCAAGGTTAAAATTACTTTATTTGTCGGTAGTGATTTATGACACAAAATGTAAAAGCTAAAAGATTTGCCTTGAAGTCCTATTATTGAAGTTTTGACGTATCGTTTCCCTGTTTCAATGCAGAGTTTTGAACATAAAAGTAAATATATGGAGTAAAAGTTAGTTCAAGGCCTGGTCTGTCATAAAGAAACGTGATAGAGAAAACATGGTGATTCCTGTAAATGAGCCTGAACCAAAAAAAAAAAGATAAAAAATATATATATACTGGCAAGTCCAGGGGTTGGAATTTTAAATTTAAGGAACTTCTTTATCTGACAGTTTGTGTACTTTCCAGAAAGCAGAAAAGGGAAACACCCTGAAAGTTTCAGCAAACCGTGGAGCTCTGTCAGAGTTCATATTTGTATTCAGCTTCCATAAGTCCAAAAGACTGCGCAATAAAACTGCTCTAATCCCTGACTTAATCCAAGCAAACTTCATCTGTCGTTCTCTTTCTCCCATCTGTTTCTTTCCATCTGCACTTGTGTCAAAACACCATCACGTTCAGGTGACATTCAAGTGATGCAGTTCATCCTCACACACTCGTTGTACCCCTGCGTCTCAAGACTGCACACACCAGCACACATACGCACATTCCTCAGTCCAGTCATGGGAGTTTCACATCGAACAGTTGAACCGGAGCCACTGGAAGCAGGCTGTGGTGTCTGCTCTGGAAATCTGATTTTAATCCTGAACAAGAAGGTGTCTTTTAACAAACGCAACACGTTATGTTCAGGTAACATAGTTTTATACGGCCAGTTTCAAACAGTCTAAACAGAGAGAGAGAGAAAGGAGGAGTTCCAAGTGATTCAGCAACAGCCGAGTGTGAGAACGCTGAAGACGAGTCAAAACTAAAACCTGTGGGAATACGTTTGTTATCAGGCTCCGCGGCTCCCCCTCATAAAGTCTGCAAAAAAATTAATTTTTCAAACTAAGACAAAGATCAACAATTCCTTGCCCAAAGTGAAGCTCCGTTTAATCTAACATGAAATGTCCATTTCAGTAACTTGTTCCCACATGAAAAGGCTGAAAAGCCTGTTCCACCGAGAGACACCTTATCACTGTGGGAACGTTCACGATGACTTGCTGGTCGTGCGTTCTCATTTAGGTGTGAACCTTGAAAATGTTTCTACACTTCAGAAATGCCGCTGTTTTACCCACAGCGTTCATGAAATAGTAACTGTCTTACCTGCCGTGCATAGCTCCTTTGAACCAATAAGGGTTTTTCCATGACGGATGTTGAGCTTCAGAAATCAGAGGAGTCCAGTGTCAGGTTTGCTCCTATTTTTATCCAAATTGATTTTTTTTTTTTCCATCTGAACAAAATTAACAGAATGGTTCAAGTTTACAAACATTTATTTACCAACACTTTGAAGAATGTGGACATTCAACGGCTATAAATGAGAATTTAAACTAAACTAGAGAAACTGCATTTCCTGCGAAAATGCAGCGTGAATGCTTACTGCTGAAGAACTTGCTGAAAAACAGCTGAATTTAGCTAGAAAAACAAGCTGAAATGTAGCTGAAATGGAAGAACAAGCCTAAGTTAGAAGAAGAAAACAGAAAGAACACACATTTGCCGAATTAAGTTTAAATAAGAAGAAATGAGCACAACAGTTAGGAAATTAGCTAAAACAAAAAAGCTGAAATTAGCAAAAATAGCTGAAAAGTAGCTGAAAAGGCAAAAAGAAGCTTAAACTACCAGAAGGAAGCAGGAAGAACTGAAATGAGCTAAAAAAAATGTGGGATTAGCCGAAAAGGCTAAAATTAGTATAAAATTGCTAAATAATAGCTTATATAGCAGAAAATGCTGAAACTTGCATAAATAAGCTGAAAAGTAGCTGAAAAAGCAAATAGTAGCTTATGCTGCAGAAGAAAGCAGAAATAAATTAAATTAGCTTAAAAAAGAAGCTAAAATTAGCATAAAAACAGCTAAATTGTAGCTGAAATAGCAGAAAAAGCTGAAACTTGCATAAATAAGCTGAACGGAGCACAACAAGCTGAAATTAGCAGAAAATTAGAAGAAGCACAAAAAACGTTGCACTTAGCAGAATGAATCTAAAAAGATCCCAAAACAGCTGAAAGTAGCTGAAAGTAGCTGGAATAACCAGTTAAAATTTGCACAATGAAGCTGAAAGAAGCAGAAGCAGAACAAAATGTGAAAGGAGCAGTAAAAGGTTGTAAACAGATGTAAAGATTTGAAGGATGTAAAATGAGCTCAATTAATTTTCTCTGAGACAAAAATTGGCAGAAAAGACTAAATATTTCAAAAAAGCTAAAGTTGCACCAAAACCAGAATTCACAGCAGGACTGGCCTGAAAGAGCTGAACGTTTTGATTTATGATTTGTTGAAACATCACAAAAATTGTGGAACAAGAAAGATGCTGAAAAATGTACAGAAGAAAATGGCTCACAAAAGTGTGAATAAACATTCACACAATAAAAAAAACTAACTCCAGCTCGCTGTAGCAGCTGCTGCTGCTTCCTGTTTGACTAACTATGCACAGGCATGGCTAATAGCTGATTATTTTACAAATGGCAGATATTAGCAGATTAATTGGTCTCTCTCTACTTCAAAACAAAGCTCAGTTTAAGGACACGACGGTTAATCCTGACGGTACTGATGAGCTAACAGCTAGTCAGAGCTCGTCTGTTTGTGCCTAGAATTCAACGCAAAGCAAACGGTGATGTAAAGACATCAATCCACTTTGGTTCAGGCAGAATTAAATTCTACTTCTCCAACGTGAGATCATTCAAAGAGCTATCTACAACAGGTAGGACATTGTTTGTTTATAATCTTACCCCTTGGTAGGATTTGAACTACTGCTTTAAGACTCTCAGGGAGATGAGTGTAACTGGCCAAAGATGGAGGCAGTATAAAAACAGAAATGGATGGAAAGAAAAGGACAGGAAAGGAGTTTCTCTTTTCTCTTCCCATGTTCGCTTCCTTTCTTTCTGTCTCTGCTGTGACCCATTAGCGGTCATGAGTCGATCATCCCTCATCTGAGCTCTCCCCTTCCCTCGACACATCCCTCCCTGTTGTTGAAGCCATTTAGCCTTTCTTTCCGACTCTGTCTCCACCAACCAGTCTGTCTGACACAAACAGTGAGCGTGTAGCTGTCTTCTGCTTTAAAGGCCTCCTGTTATCAAAGTATTTGCTTCTCGTGTCCTGTCTCTCCCTGTGTCATTACTCCTCTTTCACACAGTTTCAGTAAATAAACCGATCTCCAATATCTTTCCTTTATAAACAATTTGGTTAATCTCTTACTGAAAACTTACACACGTTGAATTATTTTAGTTTTTTTTTTAGCAGACCCTGGCCCTCTGAGCAAAAAGACAAACATCAGCTCATTTAACAGTCATTTTAATTTCCAGAAACATCTTTTTGATTTCTGTTGAGCCGACTTGTTTGAGGATTATCCGACTCAGAATTCCCTCTGAAGATGATCGATGTTTGCCAATGCAGTTAAAAACTCTTTCTCTCTCTCGCTTTCTTTTGAGTTTAACACGAATTGTCTCAACAAGAAGAAGGAGAAGTGAGATCTGAGGCTGTGCCTCTCACTGGGAAAGTCTGTGACCACAATAAAGCCTGAGAGGCATAAACTGGCAGAGTTGCTTATGTGGAACTAGCTGGAAAGTTTTAAAAAAAAAAGAAAACAAGTTTATTTTAGGAAGTTTTGGGGGAAGTTACTTTTTTTCTAGCTAAAAAGTAGATTAAAGCTCAAAGTTTCATGGCGGCTACTTGTTCAAGCTTAGATTTTTTTGGTGGAGAGAGTTGATGCATCATTATAATGCATTATTATAGCTGTGTATGCCTGCTATATTGTACATCCGTTATCCATCCATCCATCCATTATCAACCGTCTAATGTACTTGTACTAAAAGAAAGATGTAAACTTAAGTAGCAGCTCAGTTGCAAAATTGTTTCCTGTAGCTCTACTAATACATTAATGGACATTTGTTGACGTCCTCACATCATCTATGCACAGGAATCTTTCAAATCACTTCATTCAAACCAGTCATGTCAATGTGAGTCTGACTTCAGCCACTAGATGGAGCCATTTCTCTGTGTAAGAAATCTTAACTAACGTTTGTAGTTCCAACCTTTACAGGTGACACAGGACAGGTGATTAATAACCAAACTCTGGTCTCTTTGTGTTTTGTGCTCGTCAGACTGCAGCTACTCCTGTCACCTCGAGTGTGCGACTCACATCCAGCTCGACTGCAACCAGAGAGACAGAAAGCCACAAGAAAGCCCACATCCCAGAAGCCACTGCTCCTCCACACCTCCTCGGCACAAGGTGAGTGCCTCGAAGACAGAAGGCGTTCAGAAAATGAAATATTTAAGAAAGAAGTGTTAAATGCAAATATGTGTGGAGCTCTGGAGGATTGTGAGTTTATTTACTGCCATTCGCTGCGGCTTGCATCCTGGTTTTTGTCCTGTTCAGCCTCTCACTTGATTTCTTTAGTCAAGGCTTTCCCCTCACTTCCTCATGTCTTCTCAAATGGAGAGAAACCAGTTGGGTTAATCACTATTTTCGCCAGGGACCTCAGTCTTGGAAAAGCTGTGCTGGCTCAACAGATTCTCTCCGTTTTCTGGAATCGATGTTCATGTGGATTAGCAACTCATCAAACTGAATATAGAAGGAATACTGAAAATTAACTGGAACATTTTACTTGTCTGTTTTGACAAGTACAGGTCACAGTGTGTGAGTAGTAGAGATGCAGTCGTGTGCAATTCATCTTCAGCGTCATATCTTTCATTCTGCTTTTAGCCACAGGGACTTCACCGCCCACACAACGTCCACATGCACAAGAGGGAGCTGGATCACTGCACAAGCGTGCAGAAAGTGTTTGCTGCAGCTTTTTGCTTCAGGTCAAATTAGACTAAATTATCCTCCTGGTAACGTGCCATTAGTAGCACTGCAATTGTAAAGAGCAAATATATTCACACATTCATGCTGCTCTGTACCTTGTTGAAGGTAAAAAAAAAAAAACGAGTGAAGGATGGAGCTCTTAAACACATGTAGGGATATCACAAACATAAGAAACTTATGGTGTTGATCAGTAAAAAAATGTTATTCAACAATGGGTGCAGCTATTATGGTGGAATATCATTACCCTGATTTAAGCCACACAAGTGTGAAGAAGATAAGACAATGATCAACACTGAATACTGAAGGAAATTCAATGTATTTTACTCTTTAATGTATTCTGAACAGAAGTAAAACCAGTTGTGTACAAAGCACATTACAGAGAAATACAAATAAGAGACGTCAATAATGATAATCAAACATTTTGTGTTCTTGTCAGCCACAGTTAGTCTTTTAAATACAGTTGGCTAATTCCTAAAATTGAGGTCACCTTGACATAAACAATAGGCGTTACTTTGTTACAATGTGACGAATGCGGCTATACCCAGATATAAGGACCAACGAGAACAGAGTCCAAGACTCAGAATCGATTTGCAGTGTTTGTTTACAAGGTGAAATATATGTAGTTAGCCAGGGGAGGGACCGGTTGAGGTCAGGCGTGGGGAGAGTCGAGCCAAATGGTTTCAGGTGAAAGAGGTGAGGTGAACGGCAAGTGGTAGGAAGGTGGAGGCAGCTGATGGGGCACAGGGGAGCTGAGGAAACGCAGGAAAACAGGACATCAAAGGTAACTCGCTAGAGGCACGGAGAAAAATACAAATCATTAATATTTAGCTTTGACCACAGGTTGGATCAAGACTACCGTTGGCAGGTAATGCTCCAGCGCTGGCTGAGTGTCTTCTGAGGCCTCTTATACTCCTCGTGCTCATCAAGTCGCAGGTTCGCAGCTGTGGCTAATTAGAGTCTGAGTGTGGGAGCAGCAGCTGGCAGAGAAGAACTCCACATGAAAATGATCCATTTTAACCCCAAATGATGAAAAACATGGAAATAGTCATTTCAGATAAGATAAGATAGAACTTTATTGATCCCGCAGGAAACTGTTGTGCCAGAGTTTCAGTACACAGGAACAGACACAAGGAATCGCACGAGATTTAAAAAAGAGAGTATAAAAATACCAACAATTAAGGTCTAAAACAGGTGCAGACAGAAACATTAAAGTGTTTATTGTAGTGCAGAATTTTAATGCCCTGTGTGTAGAAAGTGGGAGGAGTTAAAAGTTGATAGCCACTGGGAAGGACTTCCTGTGGCGTTCCGTGGAGCACCTCAGTGATCTCAGTCTACGGCTGACGGCCCTGCGGTAATTGTCCAGCGTGGCATGCAGGGGGGGTGTAACGTGTTCCCCACTCACCCAGCGCACACACTTTTTGCCCCGCTCCCCTCAGGCAGGAGGTTGAGGAGCATTAAGTGCAGAAACTCTAGACTGAGGAACAGCTTCTACCCTGAACCTGTTAGACTCATGAATCCCTAACTACAGTAGAATAATCACTGTGGAAAAAATCACATCATGCTGCTGATTTATTTATTTCATATTTATTCCACTATGTGTTTTTCACTTGTCGCTTGTGAACAGGTTGAGTTAAGATTTGTGAAAATTTACAAATTTGCACTGTTCTAGTGTTGTCATTGTGTTAGCGAAAGTAAATGTCATGAATAAATTTGACATTAAACATAATCCATTTGAAGTGTTACATCATTTTCAGCCCCCTTGTTGGCATCTGTATATCATATCAATATCAGTTATCGGCAGAATAAGTTTAACACATATCGGATACTGGCCAAAAAATTCAATATCGTGCATCCCTAAGTTCATCGTTTTTCTTAGTTCGTATCTTAGATCTTGTGACTGTTTTTCTTTTACATTTTGTAATTCGTGGGATGTAACTGGGACCCTGTTTACACACACATGTACCACATGTGGTGCGTATGACAAACAAAGAAACTCTGACTTTGTGTTGTTCTGGATCTGCAGCATCCTCTGCTCAGACACCTCTGCCAGATATTTATATATAGTTGTTCATTTTTAGACAAGTGGAACGTTTAGTGATAACTGTAACCTAATCACACGCTGATAATACGGAGCTGCAGGTCAGGCTTAGACTGGTTTTGACCCAGTTTGTTTTGCAGGTTTCTGAACTCTGTGATGAAGGTGTGTATCTGTGCAGACTGCGGTTTGGTTTGTAGTTTGTGCTACAGTAGCACTGCAGACTAGAGAACAGACGACGGGTTATTATTTCCTGCAGTCCTCGTCTCCCTCTGCTCTGTTTTATAGCTGCAGCTGTGTGTGGTGGTTTTCTCTCTCTCTCTTTTCTTACTTATTGTGGGTCTCAGCAAAAATTGATCCCCTTACAGCCCAACGTGCACAGAAGCTGCTGCAGTTTATCTCACATTCAATGCACTGAGCAGGTTTTCTTAACCGATAGGAATGTGTGCTCGCTATGCATGCATGTGTACCGATGTGTGTTCGTAGTGTCCCACCCCCTGCATGCTGTCTTCCACCATAGCGATTACGTGGATAGAAGTTCTGGATCCCTCTCGTGCCGAAATGAACCTGACAGGCGTCTCATGTGTCGCCTTTTCACAGCGTTTCTAAAACTTCCTTTTCTGGCTTGGTGCAGATTTTAAAATCGTTTTAATCAAAGCAGCGAGTGCTGGCAGATGTGTGCAATCAATATTATGGATGAAAGGGGCTTTAGCTGTTTTTTGACAAGGGAGGTCGCTGCCAGAGTTAAAGGGCAGCTCCTGCGATCGATGTAGGGTTAAAGGTCACTATAGTCTCGCTTTTCTAGATCAATATTTTCCTAATCTTACTTTAAGCCACATAAACCCACTTCTTTAAAGTAACATTGGTAGATAAATTAATATTTTTCTACCTGACTGGTTTTAGTTTTACAGTTACCCTGATTTTAAAATGTTTTGACACCAACGCCTCATTTTTGATGGCTGCACTGGTTTCCAGTCAGACTACAAGTAACAGAGCGGCCATGTTTCCCTGCCCCGCTGCCGCTTCCTGTCTCTGAGAGTCGTGAGGCTCCATATCTCCTGCTCATCAACGTTTCTCTTTCTGTTTACTCACGCCTCTCCCTCGCTGCCGCTTTCGTCGTCTGCGAGAGGAAGTGGCTGTGCTCTGCAGGGTGCAGTTGCAGAGAGGGAGGAGGGGGAGGGTGCTCTCAGCCCAGTAACACACTCGACCACAGATGGTTGAAGGAGGTTGTGAGAGACCGAGGGAGTAAAACGATCGCAGAGACAGGCAAGGAGGAGAGACGGGTGAGAAAGAGAAGAGCTCGTGTGGGAGGAATCAGTTCGCCGAAGCGATGGATAGAGGAGGAAAGGATCTTGTAGCTAAAATATCCTCTGCTGCTGCTTGCTCTTGACTTCAGGCACTGATGGATGCATAACTAATCTCCTTCTGCCATCAGGGCTTGAACTGAGCTGTCATTTGTTGCTTCGCAGAGACCGGACCAAAGAAGGATGTGGTTTTGCATGCACGCCTTCATTTGTTTGCAGGTTTGGCAGGTGCACTCAGGTGAGCAGGGTTCACTGTAAACTGACTCCATGACACCACCGGCCACCTATACGTGCAACAAGGACTCCCAAACTTTGTGCACGTGTGTTCACGTCAGCTGTTAACAGGTGCTGCAGGGCCTGTTTGTGACACCAGCGTCAGAGTGTTCTCGAACGCACGCTCGTCAGGAGGAAGTGACACGTCTGAGCTCGCTCTCGTATTTCCTGGTTCCCTCTCCGGTGACACTCAAAAGTGCCAAACCCAAGTCGAGTTCACCTGTTTGACCTTAACAGGTGGGACTCGAGCTCTCTGGATGGGATCGGAGGAGGAGCACTTTCTTCTGGATGAGTGGAGGAAAGATTGAAGCGTGTGGACTCTGATTGTGGCTGAGCGTCGCTTCGTTTCGAGGCAACCCAACATTTCTCGAGCTGCCGTGGTGCTGACGTCGCCCTTATAGACCTCTCCATGACTGTCAGTACAGTGATGACCCCCTCCATGACCAGCAGTAACAGCATGAGCAGCGGGTACTGCAGCCTGGACGATGAGAGCGAGGACTTCACTTTCTTCACCGCCAAGACCTCGTTCTTCCGCAAACCCAAGCATGCAGCGAAGGTAAAGATCACCGTCACAGTAATGGAGGAGGTTCTGTTCTGTGACAGAATCAATGAACAAGACGGTTGATGTTTCAGTAAGACTGGGACAAAACTGATGTTTGTTTGAACTAAAAAATTTAGCCAGAAAGCAGAAGTCAAGCAAGGAAGTGGTGTTGTTTAAGCAAGCCTTTAGGTGTGTGCGTGTGTGTTACCGTCATACATCTGCATTGTGTAAACGCTGATCCGCCAGCTTTACTTATCAACCATATTGCTCC